GCAAAGCCTTGGTAAGAAGATCAGCAACTTGTTCCGTTGTAGAAATATGTTCGGTGGTAATGAGCTTGTCACGTACAGCATCACGGACTTGATGGCAGTCCGACTCAATGTGTTTCGTCCTTTCGTGGAACACGGGATTAGCAGCAATGTGAATGGCAGCTTGACTATCGCAATGTAAGGGAATAGAATGTGGATGATCGACTCCCAAATCTTTGAGAAGAGCTTTCAACCACTTGATTTCTTTTAGTGTGTATGCCATTGCACGATACTCCGCTTCTGCAGAAGAAGAAGAAACAGTCTTTTGCTTCTTTGTCTTCCACGATATTGGTGAGTCACCTAAGTAGATTACGTATGCTGAGAGAGAACGTCTAGTTATCGGGCAAGCGTTATAGTCGGAGTCACAATAAGCATCAAGACTGAGCTCACTGTCCGACCGAAGGAGAATACCTTGAGCTGGAGTACCTTTGAGATAGCGAACAAGACGAAGAGCGGCTTCCCAATGTGCGACTAGTGGAGCTTTCATAAATTGAGAAAGAATGTGGACTGCGTAGCTCAAATCTGGTCGTGTTAAAGACAAGTAGATGAAACGGCCTACCAAGCGCCTATACTGTTCGGGGTTTCCAAAAATTGGACTAGAGACGGAGGCAAGTTTATGATTTAGCTCGATAGGGACTGCGGAAGGTTTACAACCAAGAAGTCCTGCCTCAGTAATGATGTCGAGTGCGTACTTTCGTTGAGAGAGACAGAAACCATCTTGCCCACGAGAAACCTCTATACCTAAGAAGTATTTCAGCTTGCCAAGATCTTTCATGTGAAAACATTTGCTAAGCTGCTCTTTAAACTTGTTAATAGCCTGAAGGTCATTACCCGCAAGAACAAAGTCATCGACATAAACAAGAATGTGAAGAATCATACTGCCGCGACGTAAAGTGAAAAGAGAATAATCTTGGTAGCTTTGAGTAAATCCCAAATCGCGAAGAGCGGCGGAGAGCTTGGAGAACCAACATCTTGGCGCTTGTTTAAGACCATACAAAGATTTTCGAAGACGACATACTTTATTTGGATCAGAAGACTTGAACCCTGGTGGAAGACGCATATAGACTTCTTCTTCAAGATCACCGTGTAGAAAAGCATTATGAACGTCCATTTGGTGAACTTCCCAATTCTTTGCAGCGGCAACTCCAAGAAGAGAACGTACGGTTGTCATTTTAGCAACCGGAGCAAACGTCTCTTTGTAATCAGTTCCTTCTTTCTGACGATTTCCCATAACAACCAAGCGGGCCTTGTGACGTTCTAAAGTTCCATCGGAATGAAATTTTAGTTTGTAAACCCATTTGCTATTGATAGCTTTCTTACCGGGAGGTAGATCGGTTATGTCCCAAGTATGATTAGCTTCGAGCGCGTCAATTTCTTTGCGCATAGCGTCACACCATTCTTTTATCAAGATTGCATCCTTAAAATGTTTAGGCTCCGTACTATCCAGTATGGCAGCCATGAAAGCAATATGATTTGCAGAAAAACCCGCGTCAGAAAAATATTCAGCGATGGGATAGAGAATCTTACCAGAGACCGTAGTCGAGGAAGTTGATGTGGAGAGACCAGGGGCGAGAGCGTGTGACGAGGAGTGTACATTAGGAACAACATAATCCTTAAGTAGAACAGAAGGCATCTTTTTGCGATGACCTTTTCCCAACAATTCTGGTAAACCCGGTGAAGTGTTGTTAGAATCGTCCGCAGGGCTTGGGTCACGCAACGGAGGTGCTGGAGTAGAAGGTTCGGGTTGTTGTTTTTCCGGAGGTGACTTCATAGGAGAAGTGTGCATGTCTTCTTCTTGAGACGTAGAAGAAGATGGTTTGTTCTGTGTCACAGTTGGTGGATCAATAGATACCGGTGTACAGGGCACTTCAACCAATGGAACAGGTGAAGTAATCGTCTCGGCTGATGGTATTAACTCCGGTGCGGACCAATCATCGTCAATGATAATATTTTGTGGCAGAGAAGGAGATGGCGTCACAGTTGTGGTTGAGAATGGGAAGACATCTTCTTGAAATTTGACGTCGCGACTTGTAAAAAAAATTTCTGTTTCAAGATCAAATAGGCGCCAAGCTTTCTTGCCATATGGATAACCCACAAAGACACATTTGCGACTACGAGCTCCAAATTTATCTTTGTCACGTGAGCGAGTATGGGCATAACAAAGACAACCAAACGTGCGAATCATGTCATATGACGGTCGTTTCCCGAATAATACTTCATATGGGGTTTTCCCTTTCAAAACCGAAGATGGAGTCCGGTTGATTAGATGAGTTGCTGTGAGAATACTTTCGCCCCAAAACTTAACCGGCATGCGACTTTGAAATAGACAAGCACGCGCAACATTGAGAATGTGTCGATGTTTACGCTCAACACGACCGTTTTGCTGAGGAGTATCCACACAAGAAGTTTGATGTAGAATTCCATGCTCTTGGAAGTACGAAGAAAGACACATAAATTCTGTTCCATTATCCGTTCGGAAAGATTTGACGGGTTTTCCAAACTGTCTTTCGGTCATAGCACAGAAGTTACGTATCAAATTAGATACTTCGGATTTAGCGGACATGAGGTATGTCCAAACAGCCCGAGAGTGATCGTCAACTATTGTAAGAAAATATGTGGCACCACTTGAAGAAGTAGTGCGATAGGGACCCCATACGTCGCAATGAACAAGAGAAAAACAATCAGAAGCTTTATTAATACTATCATGAAAAACTTCTCGTGTTTGTTTAGAACGAAAACAAATGTCACAATTATTGATATCTCCAAAGCCGCTGGGAGATTTATCACATTCAGATAAAGAAAGCAGAACACTAGGCGAAGGATGACCAAGACGACGATGCCACAAGGCTTGAGAAGAAGAAATCTCTGCGGAGGCTTTGTGAGACCGAGCAGCCAATACTCCGGTAAAATAGTACACTCCATCACGCTCTTCCCCCGCCCCAATCAAAGTCCTCGAAAAACGGTCCTGCAAGAAACATAACGTGTCAGTAAAAATGCCAATTGAGCCCGTTTGTTTTAAAAGTTTAGAAACCGAGATTAAAGTGCAATTAAAATCCGGAACAAACAAAACGTCATTTAGCAAATATGCCGAGCTCAAAGGTAAAGAACCACGCTTGGTAGCACGAGAAGGATGACCATCCGGTTTTATAACCGGCGAAGGAATTATGTCAATGACATCCACCAAGATAGAGCAATCTCCCGTCATATGATGGGATGCTCCTGTATCTAAAATAACATCGGTTAATCGAGTTTTACCCGACAGTTTTTCAGATTGAGTATTCGGACGTTGAGCTTCGAGGAGATTGATGAGGTGAGCAATTTGGTTGTTGTCTGAAGGTGACATAACACGAGCATTGTTTACGCGGCCACGTCCACGACCTGTACCTCTTGTCGAGCGTCCACCACGTTGACCAGACCGAGAACCATCCTTGTTATCGGGGCGAGCTACACCTTTCTGCTCGTAGTACCAATCTGGAAACCCGTGAACCAGAAAACATTCTGAATTGTCGTGGCCTTGACGATGGCAGTGAGTACATGAGAGTGTGGAACGATCACGGAATCGTTGTCCCGACACAGCAGCTGCTTGAGGAGTAGTCTCTGTTTTAACCGTGAAACCAATCGCCTCTGTTTTAGAAATTTCTTTTGATTTAGCAACGTTGAGATTTTGCTCCTCCCGAATGACACGAGAGTAAACCTGAGTAAGAGGAGGCTTTGGGTCTTCACCGGTGATGGTAGAACGGATGTTACTGAATCGTGGAAGATCAAGTCCGAAGAGAAATTGATGAACTCGATCTTCTTCACGCTCTTTAGCGATGTCTGGAGCAGCAGCACATGTACACTCACGACCGGTCTTGTAGAGTTGCAGCTCTTCCCATAATTTTGACAAACGTCCGTAATATTCCAAGACTGTTTGTCCGTTTTGTTTGCAGTCAGCAATCTCGTCTTTAAGTACTTGTTTGCGAACTCCGTTACCCACCGAAAATCGAGAGCGAAGACTCTCCCATAGCGTGTGAGCTTCAGCGATGAAAGAGACCGTTGAGCGAAGCTTTGGATCGATGGAAGTGCGAATCCAGCCAACGATCATAGAGTTTGCAGCACGCCACCAGCTCAAGTATGGTTCGTCGCTGGGTTTTGGAATGGATCCATCGATGAATCCCAGTTTTTGTTTGGCGAGAAGTGAGTTTTGTAGCTCAGTTGCCCATTCAGAGTAATTATCTTCCCGCAAGATAACAGGGGAGATCAACGCTCCTGGATTATCAGAAGCATGGAGTGGATATGGATTTGCTTTAGGAACTGTGGCGATTTCGGTGTTAGCCATGATAGAAGATGATGAGTAGAAGAGATAGAAGAGATAGAAAAAAAAAACGGCGGCGGTGGTTGCGAGGAGCAACGACGGCGGCGGTGTGTTTAGAGAGAATTAGGTCACAGAATTTTATTGCTCTGATACCATGAAATAGTTTAGAAGTGCTTGTTGTATTCATTAGATTCAAGGTGTATTTATACAAGAGGAGTTGCCTAATAGACGATAAGATCGTATCTACGAGAATATAGGAGAATAGAAGATTAACATATATCCTAACTCTAATAAAAAACAAAAAATTAGTTGATGGCGACAAATTTACGAATTTATTTTTGTCACAGAATACTTGCAAAGCCATATCACAATTACCAGTAGATTTCCAATAAAGGACTTATTTCGTTTTTAATGTAAGGTTCATGGGTTTTTAAGTTCTTTTTTATAAGTTTCATTAAAACATATTTCGTTTTTTACATGTATTATAAGTTTCAGTAAAGCATATAAATTATAGGTTTATTGCATTATACTAAATTCAACTCTTGTTTGGTCTATATATATTAAAATTTTGAAAGAGGAGAGTTGAAAACTAAGAACTAGTTAGGATATATATAGCAGATGTTGTTACAAACTATATATATAATAAAAAATCTTTAAGAAATTAATACAAAATTGATTTGTAGTATTTCACATTATTAGTAATGTATTGATCTCTTCCTCGTGTAGATGTATTCAATAGATTTACAGAGGATGATGGGAAGTTCCAGCAATCTCTTATGGGAGATGCTAAATGTATACTGAGCTTGTATGAAGCCGCTCACTTGGGAACAACGACAGATTATGTATTGGACGAAGCATTGAGGTTCACATCGAACCACTTGAACTCTTTATTGGCAGGCGGGACTTGCCGGCCTCATATGTTAAGGCTTATAAGAAACACGCTTTATTTACCTCAACGGTGGAACATGGAAGCAGTAATTGCAAGGGAATACATTACGTTCTACGAACAAGAAAAAGATCACGACAAGATGCTACTCAGATTAGCCAAGCTCAATTTCAAGTTATTGCAGCTGCATTACATCAAAGAACTGAAAACTTTTATTAAGTAGGAAAAAAACGTCTATAAAAACAATGGTCAATTCTTGTGAAAGTTCATAACTCCGATATTGAATAATTCGTTTCTTTTTTTTCGTTTTCTTTTGTTGGTTTGAATTTTAAGATGGTGGATGGAGCTAGACCTTACATCTAAGTGGCCAAGTCAATTTAGAGAGCAGATCGTGGAGGCTTGGCTAGCAGGATTGATGATGTATTACGAACCTCAATTTTCAGGTGGGAGGGTTATTGCGGCTAAGTTTAACTACCTCCTTACTATTTTAGATGATGCTTGCGATCACTATTTCTCCATTCCTGAGCTTACAAGACTCGTAGATTGTGTGGAAAGGTACATAAACTAATTTTCTACCTCTACTATTTTAAACATAATTGTTCATTGATTCTTGGTGAATTTATTTTGCCTATCTGTCATTGGTTCAAATTTTTTTAACATGATTGTTAAACAAAACTAAAAAGCTAAATAAATAACACTTACGAATGATTATTATATTGGCAAAGCTTTTATGGAAGGGAGGAAAAAAAGATATCTCGACTAAAAGCACATATGCATTCATGTAAAAATATATTTGTTTCTATAAGAATTTTCTATTGTAATTTATCTATAGAAATCATAGTTTCATTTGATCCCAAATCGGAAATATAAAAATAAACCAATAATAAGGGGAATATCAGGATTTCATCGACAAAAAATTTTACACACGGCATTTTCCGAAATTTAGTTTTGTTGGATTTTTTGACGAAATAATATTTGTTATAAAAAATTGTGTAGATGGAGTCCTGATGGCATTCACACACTACAAGATATATCACGAATTCTCTTCAAACTCGCGTTGGATGTTTTCGATGATATCGAAAGAGGAGTGAGGTCTGAAGGATGTTCATACTACTTGAAGGAGATGTTAGAAGAGGTGATTAATATAAACCATTTTTCTTACAATTCATAAAAAGAAAAACAAACAAAACACACATACTAAGTATTGATCACAAGTTCACAACACATATATATCTTGTAATAATATACTTATATTTTCGAGTAAACAGCTCAAGATACTTGTGAGAGCAAACCTTGATCTTGTCAAATGGGCACAAGGAATTCAGGTGCCTAGCTTTGAAGAACATGTAGAGGTTGGTGGGATAGCACTTACCACATATGCAACGTTAATGTACTCTTTTGTCGGAATGGGAGAGACTGTCGGGAAGGAAGCTTATGAGTGGGTAAGATCCAGACCAAGACTAATCAAATCTCTAGCTGCAAAGGGTCGTCTGATGGACGATATAACTGATTTTGAGGTAAAAAAAAAAAGACATTTTCTTTGATTTGCTTTTATTTGTTTTCTAACTTAGGTGTTTGGTATATGTTAGAGCGACATGAGTAATGGGTTTGCTGCAAATGCGATCAACTATTATATGAAGCAATTCGTAGTTTCCAAAGAAGAAGCTATTCTAGAGTGTCAAAAAATGGTGGCAGACATCAATAAGACAGTAAATGAGGAGCTACTAATGACAACAAGCGTGCCACGTCGAGTTCTCAAGCAAGCACTCAATTTTGGACGCTTATTGGAACTCCTCTACACCAAGTCCGATGATATATACAATTGTAGTGAAGGAAAACTCAAGGAGTATATAGTCACCTTACTCATAGATCCCATACATCTTTGAAGAGTTTGAATTGTATGGTTTATGAATGAATAAGAAGATCTTTTTATGTTGCTTACAGTAAATGCAACGATATTTTAACATTTCAATAACTCACGGTCGCGTAAACTTCTTCTGGAAAATACAGAGAATGTCAAACCATACGAATTTACAATGTTTTATTCATTAACCAAGCTAAAGGGAGAGAAGTGTTGACACGAGAAATCAAGCAAAAGATGGAATAGCAATAAGAGGGAATTTGCGGAAAACCACGAGACCGGTTGCTTCAGTTAGGTCATGTTGAACCCTTTGTGGTTCGACATCCATTCTCCAGTTGAATCGTTTCACAATGTTGGCCAATGTAACCCCGATCAACGCGGATGAGAATCCTATTCCAGGACATATCCTTTTGCCCGATCCGAATGGAATGAATTTGAAATCTTGTCCTTGGAAATCCAAGTTTGAGTCTAAATGCCTTTCTGGCCTAAACTCTTCTGCATCTATCCCCCATGTTGTAGTATCTCGTTGGATTGCCCAAGCATTGATTATAACCTGTGTTCCCATGATATGTTTGTCACTAATATCTAAAAAATGACCATAACCAGATACATATTTGATTTGATATGAAGCAACACACACATATATATATCCATGTATTTTCCTACGTACATGCTATGCCAAATGATATGAAATAAAATATAAATTAATAATATGAAGACTATGATATTTTATAAATTCGTATTAAAAATATTTATAATTTTAAAGTTAAGTATTAACCTGCGTTCCTGCTGGAATATTGTATCCCTTTAACGTGACATCATCACTTAACACTCGTGGAACCAATAGTGGAGCTGGTGGACGCAACCTTAACGCTTCCTTAATAACAGCTTGTAGATAATTCATCTTCTCAGCTTCTTTCTCCGTTACAAATAAATCTTGTGGTGAACTTGAACGAATTTCTTCTTGGAGTTTCTTCATGGCTTTTGGATGTCTCATGAGCTCTGTCATTGCCCATTCAAGAAACGAGAGACTTGTTGCCGTTCCCGCTAAAAACATATCCTGAGAAGAAACAAAGTAAACGTCAACATAAAACTATAGAAGGATGCTTAATAACTAGTTTTTATACTTACCCATATGATAAGTTTTAAGGCACTCTTGTCGCTTTGGATCGTTAGTAACTTATCAACCAAGTCGGAACTGGTCTCTTTATGTGCATCTTCATGTTCTTTTACAACTCTATCCAAAAACTCATCAAATCGTTTATCTACTTCATCCATTTTATGATCTGACCGCGGATTTTATCAATCCACGACAAACTAGGAATGTATTCCCCTATAGGAAATTCACCCACGAGTGCGGAAAATGCCCTCACTATGTTCTCAACATCAACTCCATCTTCCTTGCTGCTATATTTTCTTCCCAAGGCAGCTCTACATATTATATCGTTTGTCAAAGTCATTAAGAGTTGGCTTAGATTTACCGGTGAAGGAGGAGAAGAACAACTCGCTTTTTCCAGCTTTTCAATCATTAGTTTTATCTCCTCTTCTCTTATCTTCTCGTAAGACCTGACCATTTTGTTGCTGAGTAGATTCTGGATGCAAATACTCTGCATCCACAAAATATGTTTAGATTCTTACCAAAAAAAAAGTATGTTTAGATCATAAAAAGCTCCTCATAACCCCATCACATATTAATGATCAAAACAACAATAAAAAAATTAAATTATTTTATCATTTTTGATAAGGACAATGGGGAAACAACTAATACTCTAATAGTCTCTACTTTTTTATTTTAATTTTAAACAGTGCTTAACAAATTTTATTTTTTCGTATAACACATCACTTAAAACAATACGGAGGAAGTATAATTATATTTTTATGTAAATGAACTTCTTTTTAACAGTTCAAAATGTGAAACGTCCAATTTTGGATGCTATGTATGAAGATAAAATTATTTAGCTGCTAGAATAAAAAAAGATAGAAAGAAATTGTTAACAAAAAAAATGTTCTTCTAGGAATCAATTGCGTAAAGAAAAATAAAAAATAAAAACTAGTTGATCTTTTAACTACCTTTATCTGTCTCCAATATTCCCCGTAAGGGGCAAAAGCCACATCTCTGCCACCTCTCAAAATTTTATCAATCACTTTTGTTTTTGGGCGGTTGGCACAAATAACATCGTACGTCTTCAAGATGTCATGAGCAAAGTCTGCGGACGAGACTATAAGGACTGGTGTGCGGCCGAAATGAAGGAGCATGAGTGGTCCATATCGGAGACTCAGGGAACGGAGAGACCGGTGAGTATTGAGGCTGAGCTGGTGGAGGTTTCCGATCACCGGAAGTCGCCATGGTGACGGTGGTAGGTTGACTTTGTTTGTGGTGGTTCTTTTAAGGATGGATTTTAGGAGGAGAAGTGCAAGAAGGGTTGTTAAGCATAAAGTGATTAATATTTTTTCCATATCTAGTTCAATCTTTCATGTAAGTATTTAGTGAATATTATATGTTATTGTGATTTGTTCATTTCCTTTTACTCTCTACTTTGTAATTTATAAGATTTATGATCCCGTCGTTTTATTTTAGTATGCTTATGAGCAGAACCGTCTTTGACACGTGCAAGTAGAGCGGTGAACATGGCCTTGCGTGCGGGTAGAGTGATGAACATGGCCCGTTTCAAAAAATGAAATTTCTTACAGAAAATTTTAAATATTGGAGCCAATTAAATAAAATTTTGTTATATCACGTTGTAAAAAAAAAAAAAAAAAAAGAAATATAGCGAATCTCTTGTAGGCTCTTAGTGTCTTTAAATAACCACAATTAATATATATTTTTATTGAGATTTTAAACATGGCCTACAAATAATTTTAGATGGTCCTATATATGAAAAGATATGTATCGAAATTGCGTTAAAAACAAAAGAAAGCTGGTAGCTGAAACGGCATCACAACTAGCCAGCTAAAGGAGCTAGGGACTTGAAGGTCCTGAGTTTGAACATCGAAGAGAAAAATAACTAACATGTTTCTCCATATTTCCTTAGCCAGTTTCTGACTTCTTAACCATGTGGCCTTACCCGGCGATTCTATTAAAACCGGCGATACAATACTTTATTTATGTGGTTCAACCTAATCTCAATATTGTTTACTCCATGCAGCCAAAGATACTTAAAAAGTTATAATTTATGGCTTATGTTGCTTTTTTTTTTTTTTTTTTTTTTTTTTTTTTTTTGCTTATGTTGCTTCATTTGTATATAAATCACGCAAATTACGGGATATGTGCATAAATTGGCGTAAATTACCTCATTTTATGTGGTTTCACCTTAGAACTATGAGATAAGAAAACATGCAGAAGGAACCAATGCTCATTTAACTTTGACTTCTTTGCGGCTGGTCGCTTCTTTTGCATATGATGGTTTTTGGTTTTGTGGAGGTAAAAATTAGCATTAATCATGATAAAAGAGAAATGTTATATATTAAAGACTTATAAAATCAATAGCATCTATAAAATTAATCACCAAAAAGGTTTACTATTAATAGGGCAAGAGTCGTGGTCACAAAGTTGGCGAGCAAGTCATTCGCTCGATGGTCGCCGTTGCCAATAACGTCCCTGATGAGAAGCTTTTTTTATCACCAGTCTTCACAGTGACATATGTTTAGAACTAGGATTTCGATAAATATGATTCAAGATGTGTTTAAAGTCTTGCAACGGTGCCTATGTACTTATTCCAGGTGTGAGGAGAATAAGAATCCAGAGATGCATGCCAAATATGAACTAAAGATATATTTGACTAATAACTCTTTAACTATGAACTAAAACCGACATTATACCAAAACATGAATATTTAAATACGTTTTAATTTAGGTTACAAATGATTCTTTCAAGTTAAATGTGTAGAAAATATTATGTTGAAAAAAATTGGGTTGAATATCAGTCAATCCATTTATCTGCAAAAATATAATTGAATGAGTTAGAACACTTTTGCTGTATAATTTGTTCAATTTTTCTAGTTTTTAAGTTGAATGGGCTGAATCTTTTTTTTTTCAACTCTTTCATTTCAAATGATGAAAAATTAGTTGAATATTCATTCAACTCTTTCAACTTGGTATTTTGTGTCATCCATTTGTTATATTGGTTATATATAAACCGAAAAGTCTTAAAACTCAAAAATATGAATCCAAACCCAACCAAAATCCCGGTTGGATACCATAATATTAATCTTCAACCACGAAATAACATGTTTCTAGTTTATTTGTCATTTATTGAATCAAACACTTAAGAATAAGAACAAGATTATGAATATAAAAGATACTTTCTTTTATTGCTATGAAAACTAACTCAAAACCATAAGCTTTCACAACCTCAATCTCTCAATTTCTCTTAAGGAATACCACAAGGCATCTCTTATATAGCAAAACTTCTAGACCTAATCCTAGTCTCATTAGGATTTGTATTTTAGATAACTCCTAAAATACTTACAACTTTATCTCATAAGTAAACCAAGCTTAACCAAACTTAATCTACTTTCAAACTTAAACCAACATCATTTATATCTCGTGTTAACACTTTAGCTAACACGGAACACTCTAGCTAAAGTAAAGACAATAATTTCCGCAAAGTTTTTTTTTTCTTTTTTGCGAAACGATATAATCACAACAATAATTTAAAGGTGATTTTGATTGGTTTCCTACCCTATGCATATCACTGAATTTTCAAAAGAATCCACTAATATTCAATTATCAGGTAGAAATGGAAGTGGAGGTAGGTAAAATCAACCATAAAACCGATATATGTATATCCATTTTTATGTTTAATGGTAATGCATGTGTTTATTAAAGAAAAAGAAAAACACTATGTGATTTGTGTTGTGACGTTTACCACGTAAACCATGCTACATTTTAGCTGATATGTGGCAGGTTAGTATTATCTAGACATATCAATTAGGGCCAAAGCCCGCGGGCTAGCCCGGCCCACCCCTGAAAAACAGCGGGGTCGGACTTAAAAATATATGTCCAGAAAAAATCGGACCTTTCGGGCTAAGCCCGTTCGGACTAAAGGGTTTTTTGGGCTTAGCCCGGCCGGGCTCGGGCTAGCCCGAAAAGCCCTTTAAAAAATATTTTGATCTTTTTTTTTATTAATATTTTCCTTTAATTATAAGATTTGTTGTAAAAAATTTGTTTGATAAAGTTGAAAACTCTAAAAATAGTTTTTTTGTTGTGTATTACTATAAATCGAAAAAGCAAATATTAGCTATACTACCTAATTTGAATTATTTTGATTTTATATTTTATCTAGTATAAGTTTAAACAATTTATTTGGATTATTTATTTGATTTTAACTCTCTTTCTTAAAAACTAAATTAGCGTTAGTGGTTATTTAAATTTTGATTGACTCGTTTCATATATAGATTCTTTTTAAGAGATATTATAACTTATAAGTTTGTTTTTTGTTGTCGGAAGAAAAGCCCAAAAAAGCCCGGAAAAGCCCTGTAGCCCTGTTAGGGCCGGGCCGGGCTTTAAAATATAGGCTCGGAATTTTTACGGGCCGGGCCGGGCTGGGTTCAAATATGTACGGGTTTTGCGGGCTTCGGGCCGGGCCGGGCCGGGCTAGCCCGATTGACATGCCTAGTATTATCATATAAAATATTGAAATTCAATGATTGAACGATATAGAACTAATATGTTTAACCAAAAAGGGTAATAATATGTTATATATGGGTGGAAGTATTAATAAAGTATATGATTTGACACCATTTGGTATAGTGATCGACCTGTCAAAGAGATTTGTATGTTGGAAAAACTGTTGTCAATTTAAGTGATTTGCAAAATTATTTTACAATAGACATATTTTCTTAGGATCGCCCTGTTGGTCTAGGCCAGGGATCGATCCTCCCCAGACGCAGTTTCGCTCTCTCACTCCTGTGGCCACCTGGGAATTTACATGCGGACTTGCTCAGGCGCCCCAGACCACCAGTTTATCAGGGGGCCCTTAAGTGGAGGCTTAAAAATCCCTGTGACGCGGGCTTAGGCCCAGTGGGCTAGTCAGATCACTGTGTGGTCTGGATACTGGGTTATCAAAAAAAAAAAAAAAAATAGACATATTTTCTTTCTAAAACAAGCAAATGCAATCATAGGCTTATTATTATACATATATTGAAGAGGAAATAATGGGGACAAAAAGATAATGTAGTGGATTTAGAGATGCTTAAGTAATTAAGAAACTAACTTTGATATACACAGACCCGTGGCTACGTTGAAGAAAAGAAAACATTCGTCTACGGGCTTGTTTTAAATTAAAAAATCGATGCTTCCTAATATTTATTAAGCCTGAAATTTTACTAGAGAAACATGATGCTTTTGATTTGTTTCTTAACATTAACACGTGACGCTTTTAATAAAGGGATGTTTTTCAAAATTAATAATTAAATTAAGAACTAAAAAAAAAAAAAAGGATAATATACGGTAATTGTGGATTTAAACTTCTTTTTTATCTTTGATGTTTGGCTATCTTGTCCATCAATAAAGAATTTATTAAAATACTGATTCAAATTTAAATTGGTTGGTCTAATGATCATCGCATCTTTTAAAGGTTTTCCCGCTAAGGTCAGGGGCGGATCTACAGTGTAAGGGGGTGGGGCACATGCCCCATACTCTTTCTTAATAATTATTAAATTGATTACCTTATGACTTAAATATCTCTTAGCTCAATTGGAAGGAGTGCCCCATATACAGTTAAGTGGGCTGGGTTCGATGCCCATTTACTACATTTGTTTTCACTTTATTTTCTTTCCCACAGTTTTTATTACTTAAATTTTTTTTTATTAGTTAAATATTATTGGTGCCCCATACAAATTTTCTCCCTAGATCCGCCACTGGCTAAGGTTATCTGTAAAAATAAAAAGGTAGCATCATGAGTAATCTTAGATTACTCATTTAATCCGAGGTTTCTATGAAATCACTCTTACCATTACCCAACCTCCGAAAACAAGATAAACAAGCAACAGAACAAAAAAAATAAGCAACAAGACTCGAAATAAATAATGCAAGTACTTGACGATCCTATAAACAAGCTTCTACTCCATTTTAGTTTAGGCCTCTACGAATTCATGTTATCCCAGAGGCAATGCCTTACACTCCTAGACACGGAAGTTTAAAAGAAATCCGCATCCCTTATACTATATCGTCATGTAGCGGCCGGTCGGTTGCAAACTAGCTCCGAGCCTTCGTAAGCCATAACGTTACGGAGTTGCACGCAACACACAGCAGACGGATGGGATAACTTGATTCGAGTAATGCTAGTTAGCTATTCAATTGTAACTAACAACAATAGCAATAACAACTAATTGGACAGAATAACGGTTATGTTATCGAAAAATGGGCAGTATAACTGTTATGTTGTCGAAAAATGGGCAGCACAACATTTATACTAGAAATGAACATCATGCATTCACATTACAAAACACAAGTCAAACAATTACTAAGTATGAATATAATAACCTTCATTAACAATTCATAATTAATTTAAATGAGTAAACACCTAAACATATGCTACGTCACATGTCCGAAACTTACCTGAGATCCACGCACTCTCGGGAAACAACTCATCCTACTCCTCGGTTCCATAGGTAACTCACTCATCCTAAGCATTTATCTAACACACTATAATCCTACTTAATAAGAAACTAATCGACAATTACTTAAAAGAAAACTAGAATCGAAAACTTACCAAATTCTCACGATCGGCTCTAGAACTATTTCTAAGGTTTTTCTGGTGGGAAATTATGTTTCTAAAATCAAAACTTATGGGTATTTATAGGCTTTCGATCAAGTAGGTGGTACATGGCATCGTCTGGAGATCGACACCTGGACACAGATCAGTGTGGAGGCGACACCCATACGTGAGTCATCGCCCATGTGTCGGCAAAACACTCTCGACCACTCCTTTAAGTCGGCTGGAAGAAGGTGGGTGGTCGCTCCGAGACCACACGTTTTCTGTGGGTGGTACATGGCGATTTCTCGACCACATGCTGTCCAAACTGCTTACGCACCTACTTGGTACAGAACCTGGGCGATGACGTGTTTGATCACCGGCAGCACACCGATCGTATGTCGATCACATGTCCTTCGCGGGTCGAGCACACGCCAGCCGGATACCGATCACGCATCGTCCCGAACGGGTCGTTCACGGTCGATCGCGGGTACATTTCCTCAGCCACATTCCTTGTTTCCTTACTCGAATCCAAAATCCGTCGACCAACTTTCATTTTTTCTCGATAGGTATTCTCTCTTAAATTAATCTACTCCAATCCTACAGTTTTTTTGGAAGATCAAAGCTTTCTACCAAAAATGACTAAGTCACTTGATATGTCTCGGAACACGACTTGATGAACGGTCGTAGCGTCAGTCTTACCTTATGTGCACCCGTCCATAGACTATATGCGGGGCATTACATTCTCCTATCCTTACTAAAATTTATCCGCGAATTTTTACGATATAGCTACTAACTACCATTCACCTTGCCTTAATGTACTAGCTTTTCTAATCTTCTTCATAATTTTCTAGCAACTCTTTGGACTCCTTGTCTTCTTGGTCTTCTCTTCTTAATTCGTTATTGATGATCTTCATTTCTTTCTCATGGCTCGCCATTCTTCTTGTCACGACTCTTCTTAGTGTCAGTGCTCCTTTGATTCTTCCTATAAAACTTCTCTTGTTTTTACGACACGTTCTATTGTGTGTCATCTTGTACTTTCTCCTTTCAACTTTTTTTCCTAATCAAACTTCCTTTTTAACTTACCATGACTATCCCCTTGCTCTTCTTGATTCTTGGGCATTGTCAACTTGGTCTTTTAAATTAACATTGAGAATAAAAAACTATCTTTACTTAGTCGAGAAAATTTAGGCAATGCGCACACAGTCTACTCAATGATTCCGGGTGGTTATTTAAAATACTATTAGGGTTCCACCTAACTTTTTAAGGCTTCACTTATCTTCTAAGGTTTTGGATTTTCGAAACTTGCATTTCTACCTAAAATAAATTCTAACTCTTAATACTTATATGAAAGAGGCTTATCTATGTTGTTTCTGTTCTTTGTGTTTCACTCACACCCACATACACATATGCATTCATGTAATTTAAACACAAGCATAACATTCACATAACATGAACATAAGTATAAACATCATTATCATACATCATAACTTCTTATACAATGCCTACAATATAAGCCTAAGGTGTTATGTTATACATACTGATTGCTCGAGTAATTACCCGAAATATCTAACCGCTAGGTAGTATATTCGAGGTCGATCCACAAGGACCAAAGATACTCTAAAGATTTCCGAGACTCGTTCTTAGCTAAAGCGAAAAGGTTGTTTGTTTGGTTTTCAGAATTGTAAAATAAAAATGCAAATAAATTAAACGATTTAACTTCAAGATTTAAAGACATTGGGCATTAGGGTATTTCAGAGATCAACGAATAATGGAAATATGAAACCAGGAATTCAATAATTAAGAACCGTTCTCGAACATGAACACATTTAAACCAATTCTCTTTCAAGACATTAATCACTAAATTTGACTATTCGATTACTAAACTTTCGCATGCAATTTCCTAGTCAAATTCGCATTACCAAACAAGTTCATTAAGTTCACAATGCGTCCTAACGTCAACTTTCGTTGGCTAGAAATACATTGCTCAATCCACATTCTTTCAGGCATTCTATCGAACACTTTTGATGCATAGAAAAACCTAGAATCTACAACAGGGTGATCAATCCTATTCTAGCATTAAGAACATGTGAATCAAAGAACCTAGAGAATGAGAATTCCTAATAGCAATCAATCTATTAATCCATTGAATCTCCTAATTAGAACCCTAAAACCCAATTGAGAACTACTCACACATAGAAAAAGAGATGACAAAAATCAATGAAGAAAACATGATGAAATTGTAGAAATAACAAGAAAGGGTTTAGAAATCTTCTCCAAGTGTCAAGAGGATGGATTCCTTTGCCCAAGGTTGTTTACAAACCAAAGAACCAAGTTTAGAACTGAAAAATATCAAAGATAATGTGTCAAAGTCGAACCTAGGGTTTTAAAACAATAGGAGACGAGTCGGGTCGGATATAGAGTGAATTGGGTCAAATTTGGGCCGAAAAACTCGTCTGGAGAGGGGATCGATCGATCCCAATGAGGATCGATCGATCTAGAGTGTCTGGAACTCAGTCTTGCTAGTCAGAGGTGTGGATCGATCGATCCACAAAGGGAGCGATCGATCTGGAGCTTCTGGTGTCCAGTTCTGCAACTGCTTCAAATGCTCGGCAGAATGACCTGTCTTCACTAATTCGGGTATAACTCTTAAACGCACCGTTAGATTGCCTTCAAACCACTTGGAAACTCAAGATAACATCTTCATATAGCTTGTGTCAAAAATTCAGAAAGATCTAACGGTGTAAAGTATTCCATCTGAGACCAAACGTCTGACACTTCTAAACGAAACTGCATCTTCAAAAGTGTGTTTATAACCCAAAACAGCTCGTTTTCCTCCAAAGCAACCTAAAACCTGTAGAGACTCGATAAAGGACTAAAAGACTCTAAAAACACACTTTGACTCTATAAAACATATGATGTAGGAAAGAAAACAATGACTCAAAACCGATAAAAACACAACATATCAACTCCCCCCGACTTAGATCTTTGCTTGTCCTCAAGGAAAGCAGAAATCCTTATCAAGAGAAGAGGTTTGAAAACACGAGAACTCACATTTCCTTCGGGATCATGATCTTATCAATTGCCTGCAAACCACTATCACAGAACTCATCAAACCGTACTAGACTGTACTTCGCCATAACCGTAGCAACAAAATTAAGTCCCGAGATCTAAAAGAATTTTCAGAGTCAGATAACTTAACCATTTTACATTCATTAACAGAGGCGTGTACTCTCACTAAGGGGATATCAAACACGTTATGGGCTAGGTGAAAGGGCTATTATTTGGTGACTCAAGTGTTTCGGGTTCTCAAACAGTGTAAAATGGATGCATGTCATTATGCGAAATCACAGTGAGACACAAACCAATTAGGAGGTACATAGCTTCCCTTAAGCTCGGATCAAACTAACCAACACACTATCCCAATCAAATCAATGAGTACCCTTGATGCTTATCAATATAACTAATAATAACTCGACATTTCCGGTCCCATTCACTCTCCTTTCCCGTTTTTTTTTTTTTTTTTTTTTTTTTTTTTTTTTTTTTTTTTTTTTTTTTACGAGGGAGTGGAACCGGTGTCTTACAAAATCTGCATCAAGAGAAACCGCAACCGATAACAACATATCCCATGAATACAACCTCTAAGCCATAGCGGCTCAATCTCATCACATATCAACAACCAGTAAACTACAACTCACTATCCTAACAGAAGGAAAACTATGTCGGTCCGTATACTCCGTAGTTTTCGCACATGGATGCATATCATGATGATCATATAAGAATGCATGAGGTTTCAAACAATGGGTGGGGAAACAGGTGTGGTACTAGACTAAAAATGAGTCTAGCCATTCAGAGTTAGCAAAGAGTGGTAAAAAAATGATGAAACAAAACTCTGAATGTATGATCCATTACATGATTCTCAAGCCCCTAAGTGAGATAAATTAAGTCGAGATTAAGTTCAAGTATATAAGATTAAGCTCAATTCATCCGAATTTCAAAGAGATAGGGACTACTATAAAGCGATCTAGTGATGGATTTTCCTGAACTTCCAAGTTATCAGCGAGTAAAGCTAAATGGTCCCAAGGCAATGAAATCAAACAAGGTGCAATTCCCAAGAAAAGATCATAGTTCTCAAACAGATTTTGACTCAATAAAAGACACAATTTTGACTCGATAAAAACGAACTGACTGACTCAAACGAAAGCAACAAAAGAAACAAACAAAGCAAACTCGATTAGTAGACAAATGACATCCTCCCCCCGACTTGCTTCACTCCGTCTCGGTGTGAGAACAATTTGAAAGGAAGATGCCAGACACACTCAAAAGAAATAGAAAAGAAATGAAAATGCGAAAAGGAGAAAGAGAAAACTTACTTGGGATACATGGTGGGTTGCCTCCCACAAAGCGCTTGTTTTAGGTCGTAAGCTTGACCGCTCAACACAAAATATTAATCATAAGAATCAAAAGGTTGTGCCAGTGGACCTTTTGTCCTTCTCCTGTTAGTGCAAGAAATGAGATGTGCCAAGTAACACACAATTATCCATGGTAAAGAGATAATATTCACATCAAGAATAATTACTACAAATGTAGCATATACTTTGAAATATTCCTTGATGGTTGAATGCTCATGAGGATCAAATGCATTTGGAGGAAAAATAAAGTCAATTTCTTGGTTACAAGAGGTTTGAACAAAATAATCAACTTCATCGCCATTGATCTCATATAGCACAATATCTCCATCCATATAATTAACCTCGGGATCTTCACTCTCATTTAAAATCTTATCAATATCAAACACAACTCCTAAGTAAGATTCGTCAAGAAGAGATCTAGATATTTCAGGCATTGAAAACTTAAACTCGAGATCATGAACTTTCAAAGCACAATGATATTCAATATCAAAACATGTTTCATGGTAATCCCTAGCAAGTTTTTCTGCTCTTAAAGTATCTAGTTGTTGAGACTCACATATCAAATCGTAACATTCATCAATGATCATGGGAGTATGCAAACTAGAATTCACATCTTCAATGCATGGCATATGAATATCCTCAACATCATGAATTTCAAGGGATGGAACACATGTACCTTCTAGTTCGCTTGGTGGAACCCAATATATTACCTTTTCAAGTGCATGGGCTTCTTGTTCTTCATAGAATGTGACTTCTCTTCCTTCACATGCTGCTCGGTGTGATAAGAGGTTCAACCGGATCAAAATTGCTAAATCACTCCTTACCAATGTCGGATGTTCGTTGTGAAGTTCATCCAACTTCACTTTTTGTTCCGGTGTAAGAACACTCTCATCAAATGGTGGCTCCACATATGGCTCATCCTCTTCTTCTTGTAGCCTATCATTATATTCCATGGCCAACACCTAAAAAAAACGAAAGTGATAGTTAGCAATTATAAAAAAAAAAAAAATGCTTTAGACTAAAAACTAATCCTAAATCCTTAGGTAACACAATTGGTCCCCGGCAACGGCGCCAACTTGATTGCTCGAGTAATTACCCGAAATATCTAACCGCTAGGTAGTATATTCGAGGTCGATCCACAAGGACCAAAGATACTCTAAAGATTTCCGAGACTCGTTCTTAGCTAAAGCGAAAAGGTTGTTTGTTTGGTTTTCAGAATTGTAAAATAAAAATGCAAATAAATTAAACGATTTAACTTCAAGATTTAAAGACATTGGGCATTAGGGTATTTCAGAGATCAACGAATAATGGAAATATGAAACCAGGAATTCAATAATTAAGAACCGTTCTCGAACATGAACACATTTAAACCAATTCTCTTTCAAGACATTAATCACTAAATTTGACTATTCGATTACTAAACTTTCGCATGCAATTTCCTAGTCAAATTCGCATTACCAAACAAGTTCATTAAGTTCACAATGCGTCCTAACGTCAACTTTCGTTGGCTAGAAATACATTGCTCAATCCACATTCTTTCAGGCATTCTATCGAACACTTTTGATGCATAGAAAAACCTAGAATCTACAACAGGGTGATCAATCCTATTCTAGCATTAAGAACATGTGAATCAAAGAACCTAGAGAATGAGAATTCCTAATAGCAATCAATCTATTAATCCATTGAATCTCCTAATTAGAACCCTAAAACCCAATTGAGAACTACTCACACATAGAAAAAGAGATGACAAAAATCAATGAAGAAAACATGATGAAATTGTAGAAATAACAAGAAAGGGTTTAGAAATCTTCTCCAAGTGTCAAGAGGATGGATTCCTTTGCCCAAGGTTGTTTACAAACCAAAGAACCAAGTTTAGAACTGAAAAATATCAAAGATAATGTGTCAAAGTCGAACCTAGGGTTTTAAAACAATAGGAGACGAGTCGGGTCGGATATAGAGTGAATTGGGTCAAATTTGGGCCGAAAAACTCGTCTGGAGAGGGGATCGATCGATCCCAATGAGGATCGATCGATCTAGAGTGTCTGGAACTCAGTCTTGCTAGTCAGAGGTGTGGATCGATCGATCCACAAAGGGAGCGATCGATCTGGAGCTTCTGGTGTCCAGTTCTGCAACTGCTTCAAATGCTCGGCAGAATGACCTGTCTTCACTAATTCGGGTATAACTCTTAAACGCACCGTTAGATTGCCTTCAAACCACTTGGAAACTCAAGATAACATCTTCATATAGCTTGTGTCAAAAATTCAGAAAGATCTAACGGTGTAAAGTATTCCATCTGAGACCAAACGTCTGACACTTCTAAACGAAACTGCATCTTCAAAAGTGTGTTTATAACCCAAAACAGCTCGTTTTCCTCCAAAGCAACCTAAAACCTGTAGAGACTCGATAAAGGACTAAAAGACTCTAAAAACACACTTTGACTCTATAAAACATATGATGTAGGAAAGAAAACAATGACTCAAAACCGATAAAAACACAACATATCACATACAAAATTTTTCTACAAGTACAAATCTTCCTAATAGTCATACAACTAGGCGAACGGCTTTATTCATTTAATTAGGCTTTTAAAGCCAAATTTTTTACAAAATAAAGGGTTAACACCTTACATAGCTTCGCCCTAGACCCGCTACGGGTCAACCGTTTTTATACCTACATATACTACACGGACATCCTGGCCTAGACCAATAGTCCTTTACAACGGTAAAAGTGGATGTATTAGTCGATGCAAGAGTAAGTATCCGAGACGCTCCCTCCGAAGGTCCAGCTATGACTCTTGCACACGAACAGGCGTAGTGCCCAATCCCGTCACAAAGTAAGCATCGGATCGCCGAGTTCCCGTATGGGCGATAAAAGCAACACATTCTCGGGTAGTGACCCGTCTCACCACACGTGTAGCAGTAAGGCTCCTACTGTGCATGTGTTGGAATTACAGGCAGCTTCATATAAGTCCTCAGGGTATCTTCCCGTCCGATAGCATCGTACTCCCGCCAAAGCGCGGTAAGTGGAGAATCAGGGAGGGAAAGATAAGTGAAAGATGGCACCACTGGTGATACCACGGACTCACTCGGAACAATTTCATCATCATCATCGTTTGGCAGCACTATCGGAGAAATGATGGTTCCAAATCCTGGAAGGGTCGAATCGGGACTATCCGGAAGGATAAGATAGTCTCCCATATAGTCGCATCCGTCTCGTTCTCAGATTCAACCATCTCATACTCGTCCAGGTTGCTGATAGGGATAGGCGCCCCCACGAGCTCTATCTCATCCTCAGAATAGTCTGTGAGTGAATAAATCACTCCACCATCCTCACATCGTCATGTCTCGGTCTCGAGAATACTCTGATCTGCCACCCTCTGTGGTGCAATCAGAGAAGTCTCACAAATAGGTGCCGGAACACTAGGTCCTTCCTCCGCATTCCACTGAGATAACTCCGAGAAAGTCGCCTCCCAAATAGGCATGTACTCGAACTTGTCCAATGACAGACTGGAATCATTCCATCTCTTAGTCCACGACCACGGCATCGACCACGACCTCATATTACAATTTGTATCACAAAATAAAAGGTGAGTCTTAAATCCGAACTACTTAATAATAAGCAATTGATCATACCACTTCCTAACAGCTTTTGCGATACATTTACTCAATAAAACGATAAAACATGATTTTTCCTTGAGCATAAATCAACCATGCTCTGATACCACACTTGTAACAGAGCATGGTTGATTTATGCTCACGGGAAAATCATGTTTTTATCGAGTATATGTATCGCAAAATCTGTTAGAAACTGGTATGATCATTTGCTTATTATTAAGTAGTTGGGATTTAAGACTCACCTTTTATTTTGTGATGTAGATTGTAATACCAGGCCGTGGTCGAGGCCGTGGTGGTGAACTTAGAGGTGGAAAGATTTCTAGTCCGTCGTTGGACAGATTCGAGTAAAGGCCTATTGGGGAAGCAAGTTTCTCGGAGTTATCCAAGTGGAATGCGGAGGCAGGACCTAGTATCTCGGCACCTGTTCGTGAGACTTCTCCGATTGCACCACAGAGGGTGGCAGATCAGAGTATTCTCGAGACCGAGACAGGACCATGTGAGGATGGTAGAGTGATTTCTTCACTCATGGACTATTCTGAGGATGAGATAGATCTCGTGGAGGCACCTATCCCTATCATCAACCTGGACGAGTATGAGATGGTTGAATCCGAGCACGAGACAGATGCGACTATGTGGGAGAACTATCTTATCCTTCCGGATAGTTCCGATTCGACCTTTCCAGGATTTGGAACCATTATTTTTCCGATAGTGTTGCCAAACGATGATGATGATCAAATTGTTCACAGTGAGCCCGTGGTATCACCAGTGGTGCCATCTGTCACTTATCTTTCCCTCCCGGATTCTCTATTTACCGCGCTTTGGCGGGAGTACGATGCTATCAGACGGGAAGATACTCCGAGGACTGATATGGAGGTGCCTGGGATTCCAGCACCTGCACAGTGAGAGCCTTACTGCTACACATGTGGTGAGACTGGTCACAACCCGAGAATGTGTCATTTTTATCGCCCATACGGGAACTCGGCGACGCGGTACTTAATTTATGACGGAATTGGGTACTACGCCAGTTCGTGTCCAAGAGTCATAGTTCGGCCTTCGGAGGGAGCGTCTCGGGTACTTACTCCTGTAATGACTAATGAATCCACTTCGACCGTGATAGAAGACTACTGGCCTAGGCCAGGATGTCCATGTAGTATGTGTAGGTATATAAACGGTTGACCCGTAGCGGATCTACGACGAAGGTATGTACGGTGTTAACCCTTTCTTTTGTAAAATAGTTGGCTTTAAAAGCCTAGTTAGATGAATAAAGCCATTCGCCTAGTTGTATGACTATTAGGATGGTTTGTACTTCTAGGAAAATTCTGTATATATAACATAACACCTTATGCTTGTATTGTAGGCATTGTATAAGAAGTTATGATGTATGATAATGATGTTTATACTTATGTTCATGTTATGTGAATGTTATGCTTGTGTTTAAAATTACATGAATGCATATGTGTATGTGGGTGTGACTGAAACGCAAAAAACGGAAACAACATAGATAAGCCTCTTTCATCTAAGTATTAAGAGTCAGAACTTATTTTAGGTAGAAATGCAAGTTTCAAAAATCCAAAAACCTTAGAAGATAAGTAAAACCTTAGAAAATTAGGTGAAACCCTTATAGTATTTTAAGTAACCACCCGGAATTCGCAAGTTGTGACTAATGATTCTAAAGTGAGTGGAATCATTGAGTAGGCTGTGTGTGCATTGCCTAAATTTTCTTGACTAGGTAAAAAAAGTTTTTATTCTCAATGTTAAGTTAAAGGACCAAGTTGACAATGTCCAAGAAGCAAGAAGAGCAAGAGGATAGTCATGGTAAGTTAGAAAGGAAGTTAGATTATGAGAAGAAGTTGAAAGGAGGAAGTACAAGATTACACACAATAGAACGTGTCATAAAAACAAGAGAAGTTTTATGGGAAGAATCAAAGGGGAGGAGTGACACTAAGAAGAGTCGTGACAAGAAGAATGGCGAACCATGAGAAAGAAATTAAGATCATCAATAAAGAATTAAGAAGAGAAGACCAAGAACACAAGGAGTCCAAAGAGTTTGCAAGAAAATTATGAAAAAGATTAGAAAAGCTAGTACATTAAGACATGGTGAACGGTAGATAGTAGCCATATCGTAAAAATTTGAGACCGAATTTTAGTAAAGGGAGGAGAATGTAATGCCCCGCACATAGTCTATGGACGGGCGCACATAAATTCAGGTAAGGAAACAAGGAATGTGGCCGAGAAAACCTACCCACGATCGGCCATAAACAACATGTGTGGGACGACGCGTGATCGGCATGCGGCGAACGTATGCTCGACCCGCGGCGAACGTATGATCGACATAGTATCGGTGTGCGGCCGGCGATCAAACACGTCATCGACCAGGTTTGGTACCAAGTAGGTGCGTAAGCAGTTTGGACAGCATGTGGTCGAGAAATCGCCATGTATCGCCCACAAAAAATGTGTGGTCTCGGAGCGGCCATCCACCTGCTTGCTGCTAGCCGACTTAAAGGTGTGGTCGAGAGTGTTTTGCCGCACTTGGGCGATGACTCACATACGGGTGCCGCCTCCACATTGATCCTTGTCTGGGTATCGATCTCCGGACGATGCTTAGTGTCGCCACCAGCGATAGTGTCGCCACCAGCGAAAGTGTCCCCGTCTCTGCCACCACCTTTTTGATCGAAAACCTATAAATACCCATCAGTTTCGACTTTAGAAACATAACTTCCCACCAAAAAAATATTAGGAATAGTTGAGGAACCGACCGTGAGAATTTGGTAAGTTTCCAATTTTAGTTTAGTTTTAATAATATTATCAACATTACAAAAAGAAAAATGATGTTTTAGAGTTATATTTTTTTACTTTAATATTATTGTTATCTTTTTTTTATAGGAAATTTTTTTTATTTTTATGAACCGGGATATAATTTGTTTTTTTGGTAAAAAATATAGTTTTTAAACATTGCATACAGTCTTCGTATCTCTAAACACCGTTCTGAATATACATGGAACTGCATGCCGATGGTAGGTAATAAAGAATGTCCAGTCTAGGGTAGCATTATTTTTAATTTATATGATTGATGCCTAAAGTTTCTTTCTTTATCGGTTTATGTTTGGCTTTTTTTATCAATATTATTTTTTTACATTAAATTATCTACTCAATATAACTTGGTAGAAATTGATTTTGAAGTTCTTTTTTTTTTGAAAATTTAACTATTTTAGTCAAGAGTTCAAAAAAAGACGTGGTGCAATCGTGTTAAGGTGTACCTCAACATTGATCAACCTTTTATGTAAATAACCAACTAAAAAAAAATCGAGGTGTACCTTGCTTTATCATTATACTATAAACTTTAAATAGTTGTTTATAATAAATAAAAAATCTAATACTTAACGAAAAGAGATTTCTTAAAACGATTATATGAATTTTTTTTTTTAATAATTATAATATTAATCTCCCAAAACGGGCTTGGGCTTGGGCTTTACAAAATTGAGCAACAGTTACAAAATAAGGGAGATCGGAAAAACTTCCGATGACGGTACTAAGAATCGGATCTTGCTGACGACCTGCAACAGAGAGTTAGAGACAAAAATTCCGGCGGATTCAAGGAGGACAGCTTTGCGGCCGCATCTCAGGCATGAAACCAGACGACGGAAGAATCCGGTTTCCACCATCAGTTTCACACCGTTGAAGCACCAAACCCGCCACACTCCTCCCGGTAAGCACAACTCCCCGACGACAGGCTCCACGATATCAAGTCCCAGTCCAAGCAACCTGATATGCTGGGATCTAACCTCTCTAACCATCATCGGAAGATCCGAAAACCCTCCGAGAAAGAAACCCCATCAATCCGATCTTGAAGAAACCACCACGGGGGGCCAAGAGGCAAGACGGCTCACAAAGATACTCGTGACCCTAGATCCGCGGTAGCCGACCGCGTCGTCTAGCTTGCCGGCTGAGCCTCGGGGAAGCTCCAATACAGCCACCAGCGTCCTCAACCGGGGCCTAGCGCACAGAGAACCCCCACCACCAAACCAGAGACACCGCTACATCGACAGAGAAGACAACCACACCGCCGTTGACGGAGACGGGAACCACTCACCACTGCTGCTCGACAAAGCAAACCGGCGGCCTGCAATTAAGCGCAAGAACGAAGAAAAAAAAAACTAGATCTAGATCTACAATAACAGTGTCTTCACGCGAGAGAGAAATATACGATTCCCTAGGCAACGATTGGGCCTTTTTTTTTTTTTTTTTTTTTTTTTTTTTTTTCGACGCAACGATTATATAATGCTTTTGTATAGCTTTAAAATTTGATATACAAACTTCAACTATTACAAGTACTTGTTATATACAGCTATATTCGTTATAGTTTTGAAGTTTTATGATGGTTGATTAGTAAAAAAAATTATTGGTCGAACAACGTAATTATTAAGAATTTTAAATTTTAGGTCTGGACATAGATGTTGAAGTATATTTAGTTATTTACTTTGTATAGGCAATATTGTTTCTTTCATTTATCGTCTTGCAATAAAAAGCTTGGACTAATCTCAGATGTTGATTGATTAAAATAAATTACATTCACCAATAAGAAGATGTATCTCTTTTTTGCTACAATTTGTTTCCAAATTTAATTTCTTGGAAATTACGTTTAAAATTAATGTATTCAATATATTGGAATAATGTAGATTTACTTTAAAAATTGGAGCACAACTAAAATACATAGTTATGTTGAATAAATAAGATCTCATGGCTCATAATAAGTACTAAGTAGTTCTCAAATTTTTAAAAAGTCTTATTTCGTAATAACATAATTATCGAAGAACCAGTCCTTATTTCAGACAAATGTTTGATTGCTATTTGTTTTAAGTCAAAATAATATAGTTAAATTGTTATTTTCTACAAAATTTTCTAAAATAATAAAAAAAAAGTAAATAATTTTTCAAATTTATTTTATAAAGCTAAAGTAAAAAAAAAAAAATTTAGTTTTAAGCATAAATTTTTTGGTTCGAAATGTTTTAAGCAAAACATAAAACCAAATTTAGATTCTTGGCTCCGATACCATTAGTTTCAGCAAATACTAGGTTAGAAAACTAGCCTATAAATTGAAAAAAAAAATCAAACTTTTCAAAATCACAAATGTATTCAACGTATAAAGAAAAGTTTATATGTTCAAAATTGGCTTTACTCTCTTACTTATTTGCAACAATCGAAAATTAAAAAAATGAAAATATCAAAGAGAGTATAAAGATTTGTAGCATGGAATTTTATCTCACAAAACTACAAAAGGTTTAGTTTATATTTGTACTGTACAAAGAAAGTTGATAAGAACCTGTCGTGAGTAATCCATGATGTATATCTTTTTTCTCTTAAGATTGGACTGACGATCTTGTCTTTTTGATGACACTTGAGTTGCAGATTTTATTTTTCAGTGTTGATCATATCAAGCTGGAAATGTTGAGTTATCTCTTTATGACTTTTATCATCTTTGAAGTGGTAGAAATTCTACCGTAGAATCTGTCCTTTTTTGTTTAATCTTCAGTTTTGTGACATCTATCCTCTTGAATGTCTTCGTGTCTTGAGTCGGTGATCCTTTGTCTTTTTTATTCTTAGTTTACACCTTTTGGTAACGGATTGGGTAACATTGTTCTTTTTTTCGTATTCTTACTTTTATTTTTCTTGTTATTTTTTACTTTTTATTCTTATATTTCATCTTTATTTTTTCACATAAATACATTTCATTTATTTAATAGTTGTCAATCATACAAATTTTCTTTTTTTATGGATTGGATCATAAATAATATCGTTTTCATTAGTCTTGTAATAACCCTGACTATGACTTAAATATCAAACTGAAAGACGTGAATACGATTAATCGACAAAAGCATCATATCAAATCAAGGAAAAGAAATATTGGTCATACTGTTAGTTGGAGTAGTTATTAAAGATAAACCTGAAGATTAATGGGACCATCAATAAAAAATCAGAAACTTTGTGACGAACAAATAACCGAACCGTCGATACATGAATTAAAAGAAAGCGGAATGTAAATCAAGCAGAGCTAAGGTAGGGAATCATTTTGAAAGAATTTAATAATGAACTAAGGAATAAGACCAAGAGGAAGGAGTTATCAAAATGGTGAAATTTTGTAAGGAAAGACTTATTGTCGAAAACCGATACTAGTCATCATCACTAGAAGGAAAATGATCAGACTAATCAAGCTTGACCTGGGTAAAGTCAAATATTTGGCAGAATGGTCCCTCGGCCGCTCGACAGACTAATAGTAAGTCTGTCGAGTGGCCGAGGGAGCTCCATGTAAGCTGCATGGATGGTTCATCTACATTCTATGGCTAGAAGGCTGCCGCGACCAAGAAGGTGGATAAGGCGGACAGTTGCCTACTTCTGATTATGGCAACTCACGTGGCAGCATATGTTTCACCGGAAGTTGTTGTTTGTCGCGTCGTGAAGCAAATGCAGTGATGAATCGCCGCCGTGTGTATGATAAATTGATGAGAGTAAGAACACAAAGGTGTTTTGAAAGAATTATAATTAGACTCTCATCTCATTAATGTTCAAGATACATCAATATATATATATATAAAGATAAATCTTAAACCTAATTTCCTAAATTATGATAAAGATAAATGTAAATAATATTTTAGAGACAGTGTAAAACTTCATAAACTTAAGAGATGATAATCTTCAAGATTCTTCTTGATTTTCATGATTTCTATATTCTTGGACAATCATCTCGACCGTCGATCTTGGTTGATCTCCGGTTCTCCCAATAGTGTAAACTAATCGACCTTGTAGCATTATTTAAACTTCTAATCCGCTCCTAAGTTTCTCATTTCTGAAAATCACTCAAGATTCTATAACTTGACGGAAAACTTTTGGTGACCGATTTCGGTAGTTTCTCATATATGAGATTCACTAAAAACATTTAGGCCTACAAATTTGGTTTGTCTAGATAGATCCTTCGAAATTTCAAAAACTTGCTTGTTGTACGAAAACGTTAATTTTTTCTTGAATTAATTTAATATTATATTCAAAAAACAAATTGTAGTGGTATCTTAGTGAATAAAGAAAATTAATTATTCAAATTAACCCTAATAAAGCTTATGAACAAATCATAGATACGAAAACCATTTTGCCAATGGTTTTGCCAAATATTATGTGTCATTATTGTAATGATTCCTCCTTATAATATTCTAATTATCATCCCTATATATTATCCATTTGCTTATTATATATTTTATTCCTACACTGCTCCTCACCTTCAACTCTCTAACTCTCTTTCTCTATCTCTCTGTCTCTCAAACACTATGGAATCCCAAACAAAGTTCGAATATGAAAGTCCTGCGTTCACAAAGTTGTCTCACTCTCAATGGACTGATTACTTCCTCTCTGTTCCTATCGATGAATCGGTGAGACATTTATACTAATTATATATTCAGTATAGTATATTTACATGAAAAACATATAAAGACTGTTATGTTTTTAGATGTTAAAAAAAAGACTGTTGTTTTTCTTTATATATATAAGTTCTCCGGCAGATAATCGTAATAATGAAAACTTTGACTATGTATAAACCTAATAATAGTGTTTGTACCGAGGTCGTAACAACGAATAACTATAGGATTTTCGGGGAGAACGAAGTAACTTCTTATTAACGACGAACGAGATCGGTTAGTTACAGGGAGAAATGACGAACGTACAGACTATGGGCTACGAACAACCAACGAACGTATACGCAAAGAACTATGACTAACGAACGAAAGTTTACGAAAAGAACTACGAACTACCAACGTCCGTATACGCAAAGAGTTACGAACGAACGAAAGTATACGCTGTGAATAATTCTCTGATTCTTCGGATATTAACTTGTGTGTCCTCTTGTTACAAATAGTGTCTTATTTATAGGACAAGAATTGTGACCTAAGGTTTCTTCTGTTTCCTCAGCAAATTACCGTTTTACCCTCCAAGCTTGGTGGGCTAATTTTGGGAGACACAGGCCCAGTAAATAAATGGGTTTCTGTTTGGGTCAAATGTCATTTTGTGGGTGAAGCCCATATCCAACAAATAGGAACTAGGTGTTATTACAAGAGAGATTGAGATACTCAAGCCTGAAGTTAGGGAGCTTCTATCTTCCCAAGGTGATTATGAGACATTGAAGAGGAAAGTGCTTTTGATCCAATTGCTTCTTAGTCTTGGCAGGGCCGGCTCAACTAATTTATGGTCCCTGTACAAATCTTAAAAATTGGCCCTTTTTCAACGCATTATTTAAACTTCTAATCCGCTCCTAAATGGGCTCTGTACATTTGCTCCTCTTGCGCACCCCAAACGCCCCCCCTGAGTCTTGGTCTCGCATTTCATTTTGAAAATGAGATCAAAGATATACTAGAACATGCTTTTCGAAAGATAGATAATATAATTGGTGATGAAAAGGACTTGTCTACAATCTCCATCATGTTCCGTGTTTTTAGAACATACGGACACAATTTATCATCAAGTAAGACAATTATTTAGTCGGTGGCAACCAATTTACTATTGTTTTATAATTTTGTTTTGAACTAACAATAGATTTCCACTAAAGGACATTTTTTTGTAATGAAACGTTCATAGAGTTTTAACTTTTTTTTGTCCTTTCTTCTTAATTCCTAACGACGAGGTCACCGACAGTGTGTACTTGCCGTTTGGAAAAAAAAAAAACTTAAAACATATAAAATACAACATTTTATTAAAACAAGAAAACAAAAGATTACTGTTTGGATTTTTTTTCTTTTTACATATACTAAAATTTCAACTTTTGTAAGTTGGTCTATATTAAATTTTTTTCTATATTAAAATTCTGAAAGAGCAGAGTTTAAACCTACGTACTATATGTATATAATAGAATTTTGTAACAAAGTATTACCATGTTAATGCAAAATTAATTTGTAGTTTTTTCGCATCTCCTATTAGTAATGCATATACCTCTTCCTCGTGTAGGTGTTTTCAAGAGATTTACAAAGGATGATGGGAAGTTTGAGCAATCTCTTGCGGGAGATGCTAAAGGTATACTTAGCTTGTATGAAGCCGCTCACTTGGGAACAACGACAGATTATGTATTGGACGAAGCATTAAGGTTCACATCGAACCACTTGAAGTCTTTATTGGCAGGCGGGACGTCCCAACCCCATATCTTAAGGCTTATAAGAAACACGCTTTATTTACCTCAACGTTGGAACATGGAAGCAGTAATTGCAAGGGAATATATTACGTTCTACGAACACGAAGAAGATCACGACAAGATGTTACTCAAATTAGCCAAGCTAAATTTCAAGTTATTGCAGCTGCATTACATCAAAGAACTGAAAATTTTTATCAAGTAGGAAAAAAGTCTATTAATGGTCAATTCTTGTGAAACTTCATAACTCCAATATCAAATAATTCGTTTCTTTTTTCGTTTTCTTTGTTGGTTTGGATTTTAAGATGGTGGATGGCCCTAGACCTTACATCTAAGTGGCCAAGTCAATTTAGAGAGCGGATCGTGGAGGCTTGGCTAGCAGGATTGATGATGTATTTCGAACCACAATTTTCAGATGGGAGGGTTATTGCAGCTAAGTTCACCTACCTCCTTACCATTTTAGATGACGTGTTCGATCATTATTTCTCTATTGATGAGCTTACAAGACTCTTAGTTTGTGTGGAAAGGTACATAACCTAACTATCTACCTCTACTATTTTTAAACTCGTTTCTTGATGCTTGGTGAATTTATTTTGCCTTATCAGTATTTCATCCACATTAATATGTACACAAAGCGTTTTTCGTGTAAACAGTTTTGTGGGATTTGCTTGACGAAAAAAATAAATGATGTTGGAAGTAAATATGTGTAGATGGAGTCCTGGTGGCGTTGACACACTAGGAGATATATATATCGCGAACTGTCTTCAAACTTATGTTGGATGTTTTCGACGAGATCGAAAGTGGAGTGAGGTCTAAAGGAAGCTCTTTCCACTTGAAGGAGATGTTAGAAGAGGTTATTAATATAAACCAATTTTCTTACAATTCATAAATATAAAAATACTTCATTATTGATAACAACATATATAGTTGACAAAAAAAAAATTGATAACAACATATATATAGCTTGTAAACGTTATACTAGCTTATATATATGTATCTTTTATCAAAGAAAACTATATACTTATATTTTCGAGTAAACAGCTCAAGACACTCGTGAGAGCAAATCTTGATCTTGTCAAATGGGCACGAGGGAATCGGGTGCCTAGCTTTGAAGAACATGTAGAGGTAGGTGGAATAGCAATTACTTCATATGCAACGTTAATGTATTCTTTTGTTGGAATGGGAGAGATCGTCGGGAAGGAACCTTACGAGTGGGTAAGATCGAGACCAAGACTAATCAAATCTCTAGCTGCAAAGGGTCGTCTAATGGACGATATGACTGATTTTGAGGTAAGAAGAAACGATATTTGCGTTGTTTGCTTTGATTTACTGTGATTTGTCCTTTAACTTACGTTGTCAGAACGACATGAGTAATGGGTTTGCTGCAAATGCCATCAACTATTATATGAAGCAATTTGTAGTTACCAAAGAAGGGGCTATGCTAGAGTGTCAAAAAATGATCGCAAATATCAATATATAAGATCATAAATGAGGAGCTACTTAAGACAACTGTCGTGTCCCCTCGTGTTCTCAAGCAAACACTCAATTTTGGACGCTTATTGGAACTCCTTTACACCAAGTCCGATGATATATTCAATTGTAGTGAAGGAAAACTCAAGGAGTATGTAGTAACTCTACTCATAGATCCAATACGTCTTTGAAGACTTTGAATTACTTTACATGGGTTATTATTTAAGAAGATGACTTTTCATGTTGGTTAATGTTGAATAACATCATCTTGAAAATGTGTTGCATTAAGAAGTCATGAAAACATTAGATCATGTCATTTAGATCAAAGATAGTGTCATCCTTTTTTTTTTTTTTGGATAAATGGATCATGGGCTAAACTTCAACTAATCTATGAAGCTTTTAGAAGAATAGTGTATACTTATCATTTACAACATCCACAATGGCTAACCATGACTAAAATGTTTGAAAACTTTCCATAAAAAAATCAAGAGTCTTAAACTATTTGTAATTTTCATAAAATGGTAAACTCCCAACTTTTCTCTGAGTAGTGCTCCTTTAACCATCTGGCTCTAGCCAGTATACTCAACTGCCATCCGCTGCTTCCCGCTTAACTTCCATATAACTCCTTCTCCAGCTCCGCTTTGGCTGCTCCTTTACGAACTGCATGCGTATTAGGGTGTAACTGAGTCCTCTTTCTTCCATAATTATTCTAGACTCATCATTTCATCGACTGGCAAATCCCGCTAACCAAAAAGGAATTTAGTTGATACATATTATGTGGTGTTTTTGGATAACTTTTGGAGGTTTGTTTGTTATATCCGACTGAAAACAAGACTTTTTCTCAATCTTCATTGCTTTTCATAAGCTTGTTGAAAATTTGCTAAATCGTAAAATATATACAGCTCTTTCAATGTGATGTTGATGGAGAATTTATCAGTGGGATTTTTATCTCTCATCTTGCACATTGTTAAGAGTTTCTGATGCATTGATGCTATCGACAAAGCCTAAGAAGTCACCATCTTTGCCATGCTCACATGAGGATATACAAAAGAATCATCCATATGAGTAGGGCTGGACATAAAACCCAAAATCTGAAAACCGGTCCAAAAAATCCGGTTCCAAAACCAAACCGAATAGTGACAAAATCCGAACGGATAATGAATTCTCCTATCTGAATTACCCGAACCGAACCAAAAACCGAAAATATATCCGAAAACTCAAGAATCAAGATAAAGTTATATATCCAAAAATATTAGTTATAACTTATATTTAGTTATAAATTTATATCCAAAAATACCAAATAATAAAAATATCCAAAATAACTTTGATATCCAAAAAAATTTAGTTATTTGGTTAAATTTTGATTAGACACATTTTTTTGCAAAATTTAACCAAATTTTAGTAAAATTAAACCAATTTTTATTAATAGTTTTGTTCTTTCTGAAAACCGATCCGGTCCAAATTTGACCATATTCGAACCGAAACCGAACCAAATAGTTATAGAATCCAAACGGATAATAAACTCTCCTACCCGATTCCGAAAAAATCCGAACTGAATCCGATCCGAAATCCGAATGTCATATGACTGCATAACCGATATTTTCTCCACGTGTATGAAAAGTTTATCGAGTGGTTTATTTTGCCCAAAAAAAGAAGCAAACACTTATTACACATTTAAGGAGTTAAGAAAAGACTTTACAGAAAGTAGTTCTTTATCTCTCTCCTTCTATCTTTCAGTGTTAACATTAAGAGTATTTATCTATACAATATCTTACGAATCATTTCTCCAGAAACCAAAACATGTCAACATATGTTATCTGGTCTTTCATCTCTCGTCCAGCTTAGGATGGCGGTTCACTGCAAATTAAAAAAAAAAACCAATGTGGAAACATATGATTAGCTTTCACAAATATAAAACCATGTTTTCTATTAGACACTATAATCTCATTGTAACCAAAGCACATTGGTTGATAAAATACCAGTAGCATCTAATGAGGAACAAAAGAAACCAGGTTTACCTTACGATGACAATCTTGGTGTGAAATTTTCTGGTTGTTAACATTAACATACACCTCACACGACACTTTACCCTGCAGCAAAACAGTTTTACCCATGTATTAAAACATCAGATGTTTAAATCTTAAACTTTGAAACTAATATAGCAGAGAATGACTTAATGTTCATGTCATACAAATATCAAAACGCATTTAAAAACTAGGACTCTTGACAAACTTTCGGTAGGTTCTGATAGAAAACAGTGTCAGTAAAGTATCTACTCTCTCTTTCTCCATTTTCCAAAAAAATGTGAAACGTTAAGGCTAATGATCCAAATTTCATTTAGAGAGCACCCATACACAAATCACTAAAATGGTTGTGTACCAACACACATATACCCTACAAATCTGAGTCTTTTATCTCATAAATCCCAATCAGTTCAGAACAAGGTGAAACACAACAGAGCCAGCAAACATATTCCACTAGCTGAAATGAACTACAATCCCTAAATCCAAATAGACAAAGCTCAAAATAAAAGACATTCCCATCAAACACAGCTTTCTTCAAACCCACGTATCTCATCCACAGAATCACAGGTAATGAAACAACTAATACAAAGTTAGAACCTACGACGATAACGATTAATTGAAGTCACGAAAAAGCGAATTCCTTAAAAACAGCCTCATGTTTCTTCATCATCAAAACTTAAACCACCACAAACCCAATCTAAAACCTTCTTAGGCAAGCATAACACAAAAGTCTTCCCTATCCAAAATCAAAGTTCCAAACTTTCTCTTCACTAAACCCTAAATGTTCCAAAGAAGAAAGTCACTATACCTGAATAGGGATTTGGAACAAGAGAACACCAAGAGCACCTTTAACTTGAGCAATAGTATCAAAAGGAATAACACCTTTAGCCAAATCACCAATCAAATAAATCACATCATGAACAACCTCAAGACCATCAAGCTCAAGCGTAGCATTAATATAAGAGCTATCACGAGCCTTTAGATGTCCACCTTTAGACTTCACAAGCCCTAACTCTCTTCCTCTATACCCAATCGAAACTGTAGAGGTTTTTGACCTCTCAACACCTCAAAGCTTCATGCTTTGTCATTATGAACACAAGATCACACACAAGCAGAACATGTTATGGAGAAGAAGAAGAGAGTAAAACAGAGCAGAAGAAAGGAAGAAAAGGAGCACACAAAGGATTTGTTAACCCGGTTCACGGCATTAACGAGCCGCTACGTCCGGTTAGGATCGATAGATCCACAACTCCACTATGAAGAAGAAAGAGGGTGATTACAAGATAATCCTAGTGAACGTCTAAACTCTTCTCTAGCTAAAGACTCACTCTCTATCTTGTATTACTTGAGAAACTACCCGAAAGCTTATACTTTACAGTCTCTCACCCCTTATGATCTAAGCTCCTTAGATCTACATTGCTTGTGCTTTCTCTGCACTCTCTTGTTGTGGCTGCGTCTCTCATGTCTTTATATCAATTTATACATAGGAGACAACCTCAACCCTATAGTGCAGCTACAAACGTTCCTTTTGAATTCATAAACGGACAAACTGTCCTTCCTTGGCCAGCTCCTTGTGCTCCCAGAAATGTTTAACTTAACCAGAGATGAATTACTTTTAACTCTAGTTATCATCTCTGTTTTTACCTTGAGCATAAAGTTCTCATCTTTACAATCTCCACCTGAGAACGTAATGATCAAGCCAAGCAACCTGCACGCACTTGCGAGAGAGAGAGTACCTTCTTATTCTTTCTTTAGATTCCAGTATCGGTTCCTGAGTTTGATTACTCAGCCTTGACACTTAGCAGTTTAAACACCATAAACCTGCTCTACCCTTCAGCATTTAACTTATGTTCAATGCTCTTTAGCTGTGACTACTCACACTGCTAAACCTGAGCCATCAACACATCTTTAGTTCACCAGAGTTGTGAAAACCAGCTCCTATACAGACTTGTATAAAGCTCAACTCTTCAACGATCACTTCATGATGCACTAAGCACCTAAATATTGATGTAACCACTCAGCAATAAACTCCATTAACAAGTTAAGAAAACCATTCAACTTGTCAATTCAACAGAAAACTCCATAAGCTTCACCGCCTATGAAACGTGCAATCACACATTCTCCACCATGGCCTCTGTTAGGACCACAGACATGTATCAGTGATTGTAAACATCCTTTTCATTTTGCAAACCTGATTCCTTTGTCGACTACTTGATTCACCTCATGTGCACTGAGCCTTGAATCAAATCCTTTTTCTGAATCTTATGCAGAATCAGAATCATCTTAGCCTCAGCTTTGAAGCTTTTGATTCACCATGTAGAAAGTCTCTCTAACTGGTTAAATATCTTGTATAACCTGAGACATAACCTTTTCTACAACAACCTGATTCAATAAACCAGAACCTGAACATAAACCTTGTTCAATCCATCTGTTAAAACAGACTCATCACCAGCAGATTTTAATCACTACCAGCAACCTTTAACATGTCTCATATCAGCAACTCATTGTGATAATCCTGAGACAACCATGTACAGCTCCTTTCACACCAAATCTAGAACCTTGATGCATTTCCTGCTGTAACATCATCTTGCAATGCTTAAAAGCATGCGAAACTCCACCAGAACTTAGTACCATCGTCAATAATACTAACCAGACCCTAACTATAGTCTTTTCTTTTCTTCTTTATGACTCCCTGATACTTGAAATTACCCACTTGACTAACCTGCAAGTGATTTCCCTGAGTAGACACTTATGTGATCTTCTCCTGGTGTAGACAATTAACTCAAACTCCTTAGTCATTGTCTTCCAAATGCAGTTTGAAATTTTCTGCATTTATCTCTTTACTAGGACTTCTTTCCAGCTTCAAACACCAGCTTTGAGATATTGTGTATCAAGCTAGATACACAATCTTTTCCTCTCTTGAAGTGACTCGTCTTTAGACAATCCTCGCAACATTTGCATTTGCCTCTTTCAGTTTCTTCTTTATAGAATCCCACTAAAACACTTCAATAGCTTTATCTCAAATAGCAGCTTTGTGACTTCTCGCTGAAAACTTTCAGAAAACCAGCAGCTCTTTTAAGAGAAAACCTGCAGCTCCATTTCTGAATGTCCTCACCAATCAACCAGCTTCAAACCAAATATGTTAGAATCCTTTTCCCCTCATATTTTACCCGTTGAACTTGTTGATAGCCACCTGTTCTTGGCTTTCCTTTCTTCAAAGTAAACTGAACTTCCATGAACATTAACCAATAGTGATTATGCAGCCTTTTTAACTCATTTCCTTTTTGAGCTAACATATACTTCTTAAGTCATTTAAGACCTTGATATGATTTGAGACCTCTTCTAAACATAGCTCCACCTGAATTTAACATCTTCATGTAAAATCAATTTCTTCTCCTGGAACATAACACTGTTTAGAAGTTTTCTATGTCTCTGCAAACATAGCTCAACTTCACCAATACGAGTTAAAACTGCTCTTCACTGTATCTTTGATCCATTTTCACGGTTTTTGTATCAGAATGTTAAACCATGGCTCCTTACTTAAGAAAGTATGTCAGAACTTGTGACACATACTCTTCCTTCTTACAACCACACAAACTGATCCATTTTTACCCAAAGAACACCAAGAACCTGTCTCTATTTTCAGCAGCCTTGTCATCTCTAGAGCATTCTCCAAAATCTGATAATGCAACAACTTAGGCTGAAACACCATCAAACCAAACCTCAATCCCAGAAATCAAATCTTGTACTTCCTGCAGCCAATTCCACTATATACTTGTCTTGCACCGCTATTCAAACGAACAGGACACGCCGCCTAACACCCCTTGATGCCAAACACCCTCCCGGTGCCTAACACCCTCTCGGCTAAGAAGACTTTCGACACAAGAAAATACTATAGCCAAATGCATACCATCAGATACTTCTTTGTCGCTTGAAGATCTGATTCAAACACAAGACAACCACTGAGAATACGTTGCTCCACCCGAGATAAGAACTCCTTGCTCTTAGATTCATTCCAACAGAACCACCATGTGCTATATCAAAACACAAATCTGCACAAAACATGAATCTTTGTCGCTGCCATCTTTTCGAGAGTTTATGTTCTTATATAAGGACCTAAACACTCTTCATCTCACACTTAGGCTTACACCAGAAGTGTGTTTCACCCACTGTATCTACAGAAATGTTTTCTGTACAAGTGAATACTGCCTCAACAACTGTTACAGACCCAACAATCTCGTTTGTAACCCGCTGACATAATCCGGTAGACGCTTTTACTAACAATCCACCAATCTGTCCATTTTCAGATTCACTAGAATCTAACCTTTGACACTGAGACAAACCACTCATCCAATCATCTTCAAAACTCAAACAACCACTGAAATCTTGTCTTTAAACTGAATCCAGAAAACCTTTTACCAATACTCCACAGCCCAATACTCATCAATTTCAAGTTTCTAAGGCGTCCCCTAGTCCCTTGAAATTTAAGAGTTTCCGAGGCTGTGATCACATCAACAATTGAATACCAACCTGATTCAACAGTAAAAGAGTATACCAATCTGATTCAAACTCCCAGAAAAGGCCAGCTTAAAACCCAAAGCTGAATCTTTTCAATCTCTTGCAATAACAGTGGAATAAGACTTGAACCTCCAACATTGAGTCTTGAGAAAGAAGAATGATTCTAATCCGACGAGTGTAGTCAAGGAAATCCGACCTACACGTTTCCAGGATCTTAATCAAACTTCACCCGATGATTTTACTATATTCCTTCCTTTCCAATCAAGAGTAAACATAGACACATACTTGTGACTGTTGTCGTTCTTTACTCATTGCAACCTCCAATTTCTTTACAGAAAAATTAGAAACTAGGATATACCGGAATGTCTCTGAGCTTCGCAACTCCAACTTAAGCTCCAGCTCTCACGGTTACTTTGCTAATTGGAGCTCCGAGAATGTTCTTCTTCAATCGACACTTCCTCCGACGATGAGAATTTTCGGCAACTGCTCCAATTTCGACTTCACAGTCGAACCAAACCGCTCCCAGATACAACCTTAATTTGCGGTTTGAGCTTCTGTCGTGACTGTCTCTTTGAGCTTCAGTCTCGAAGCTTGAACGGACGAGAAGCATAAAGAGGATAAAATAACACGTGCCTTATCCCTCTTTTCCTCTTGGGCATTAATAAATATTTTGGGCCCAATATTTACTAATAATAGAAGAGATCCATCTTGGCCCAACAAAGGAGAAGACAAAATTTCTTTTGTCGTGACATAACCTCTCTTCTCCTCACCGCCGACCATCGTCACCAATATTTCCGGCCAACGTCCCTCGTTTTTTCCGATGACTGTTTCGTCACCAACCCAGCAAGCCTCCACGATTCCTCTTCCTGCGAGTCTCTTCCTAGACAGCAAAACCCAAGGCTTCTTCTTCTCCGACTCGTTCTGCTCGTGACGGCGCCGTCTTCTCTTTCACGACGTCGTCGGAAACTCGAGCCACTCCACCGGAATCTCAGCCTTCTCCGGCGAGAATCTAGACATCTTCCTTGTCGTGAATCTCTGAACACCACAAGAGCTCATGACAAGCTTCCTCCGCAAAACCCAGATTTCAACAGAAATCTTGCATCTTCTTTTGTCTTCTTCTCTACTCCATTTCAGCGAATCTCTTGTCTCTAAAAGGGAATGAACACTCCATCTTCCTTGAGACATAATAACCAGATTCACCGTTCTTCTCTAACACTGCTTTTCCAGACGCTTCTCCTTCATAAAGTCGTGACCTTTTTGACAAAGTTTGCATTTTTCCTTGAAAAGCTTGAATCTTTCTCACGGAACCTGAAGATTCAGAGCAAAGCTTGAGTCTTTAAGCACGAACCTGTGCTCTGATACCACTTGTAGAGGTTTTTGACCTCTCAACACCTCAAAGCTTCATGCTTTGTCATTATGAACACAAGATCACACACAAGCAGAACATGTTATGGAGAAGAAGAAGAGAGTAAAACAGAGCAGAAGAAAGGAAGAAAAGGAGCACACAAAGGATTTGTTAACCCGGTTCACGGCATTAACGAGCCGCTACGTCCGGTTAGGATCGATAGATCCACAACTCCACTATGAAGAAGAAAGAGGGTGATTACAAGATAATCCTAGTGAACGTCTAAACTCTTCTCTAGCTAAAGACTCACTCTCTATCTTGTATTACTTGAGAAACTACCCGAAAGCTTATACTTTACAGTCTCTCACCCCTTATGATCTAAGCTCCTTAGATCTACATTGCTTGTGCTTTCTCTGCACTCTCTTGTTGTGGCTGCGTCTCTCATGTCTTTATATCAATTTATACATAGGAGACAACCTCAACCCTATAGTGCAGCTACAAACGTTCCTTTTGAATTCACAAACGGACAAACTGTCCTTCCTTGGCCAGCTCCTTGTGCTCCCAGAAATGTTTAACTTAACCAGAGATGAATTACTTTTAACTCTAGTTATCATCTCTGTTTTTACCTTGAGCATAAAGTTCTCATCTTTACAGAAACAACAAGCGAATCATAATCAAGAGAGAAGAAGTCGCGGTTTCGAACTTTGATTGTGAGTGAAAACGAGAGATCTAAAGCGATTTTGTGTGAATCTACGACGCTTATGTGGTTGAGATTGATTCGTGAGACAGTGATGTCTGGATCTGAAGGGTAGAGTAAGTAAACGGCGGCGGAGAGGAGGAGGATTGCGGCGGTGAAGAGGAGAGAGCAACGGAGGTTACGGAAGATTGAAGGACGACGGTTACGGCGATAAGGAGTTAGAAGGATTACGGTTTGTGAAGGTTGTGATGAAGGAAGAGGTGTGTAAGGAACGCCGTAGTCTTCGTGCTTCGACGACGCCATTATCGTTTCAACGAAGAAGATGAGTTCTTGGGGGTGAAAAGTTGATTTTGGAAGTTTTGGGGTTTTTTCGTGAGAATTAGATTCTTAAATTGTATATTGATGATTTTATAAAGACCCAAGTCGTTTATACGTGGAGTGGTAAGGACCGTTGGATGATTTGCGGAAGAGTGATGAGATCGACGGTGTAAGATTGACTTTGTTTAAGTGAAAAAATAAAATGTGTAATGTTGACAGTGGGATTTGAACCCACGCCCTTTCGGACCAGAACCTTAATCTGGCGCCTTAGACCAACTCGGCCATATCAACTTTGTTGTTCAGTGAAAAACAAACATATTTTTGTATGAAAATTTATTCTCACATTTTTGGGGATCTCTTTTGGGGAAAATGATACGAACCAAAACTTTAGACTTCGATTTCGTAGTTGACCGTGAGAAAGAGAGAAATATGTAAGCAAACTTACTCTTAACCCTAGTCTCTTTTGGTGATTAAGGTTAAATCTTGGAAGTTGTTTTCTTTATTAATTATACGAGATATTTATATATGTTTTGTTACCTATGTTTGATCTATATTTTCCATTCAGTATTTTCTTCAACATGTGGCTTGAAAGAAAGAAAATATTTAATTAAAAGCTTCATCTTTGAAAGTTGTTAATTGTTATGAATGTTCCATCGGGATTTTTATTAGGATCTTGTGAATGACAAGGAATTAGTAGCTGCAACCTGCAACTTGATTTTGATGCTCCATCCCTAAAAACTGAAATCCGTATTAGTTTACAAATATCTTGTCTCGTAGAAAATATTTTGAAAAATCTATATAAATAAATATACATATATCAAGATATATGTTATTAATAAAAATCTATGTATATAATTAGAGGGAGTTCTCTCTTCATCTAAGGTATCCATCTAAGCATGATATTATTTTTACATTAAAAGTATATTTAAGATATTCATTCAGTGCATACATATGTACTTATAATTAATAGAAAATTTAATTAAATGAATAACGAATTAAGTAAAATTAATGAAATTTTAAAATAGTGAAAACAATACTTTGAAAATTGTATTAGTAATAATAATATAATTCAACTTTTAACATAAAAAAAAATTAAAAGTGACCATATTTCAAAATTTTAATGTTTTAATGAGTTTTAGAATAGAAGTAAGATTAAGGGCTTGATTGGTTCTCCCGCTAGCACTCTCCTAGCGGTTGCTAGCGGTCGGTTGCGGTTGTTAGCGGCTGGTACCAATCACAGAAACCGCTCTGTACCGCTTCGAACCGCTCGAAATCGCTGAATTTCAAAAGCTCCTTTCCGCAAGCGTTTGCGGTTGCGGGCGGTAGCGGTTGGATTTTAAAAAATAAAAAATAAAAAAAAATCAAACGTTTACTTATAATTATTATAATATATATTAATCATATATATATCTTTCATCTTTGTATCACGTTCTCATCAGAAACCCTATTCTCTCAATCTCTTCCACCCAAACTGATGAAAATCAATAACCAAACGTAAGTATCATATATCCTTTTATTCATTCATCACCTCATATGTAACTTTTTGAATATTTTTCATGGCATCGTTTTTTTTCTTTTCATTACGTATTGCTTTGCTTTTTGATTGAATATATGTTTCGATTTGTTTTCTCGAATAGAAACTCACTTGCTTTTTGATTGAATTCAATGTTATTTACAGTTTGTCCCATTACTTAATTGATGCAATTTTTGATGTTAAACCAAATGCATAAAGTACTATCTTGTTACAAAATTTCTTTATTTTTGAATAATTATTTAATACTTTATTTATGGTTTTAATTATTAAGCATGTTCAATTTTCCTAATATTATCATAATAATATATTGGTGTTTTTATTTCTTTTTTTTTGTAATATTTTTTATTTATTTTGGTCATTTTTTTATTTAACTGCTACCGCACCCGCTGGTTTACCAGTCATAAAATATCCGCAAACGCATCCATTTTCAAACGCTAAACCAGTCGTTCAAAACGCTTGATAACGCTTGAAGCCGCAACCGCCCGCTTCCGCAAACTCCCGCAACCGCAACCGCTGCGTTTAAACCAGTCAGACCCTTAGGGCTTGATTGGTTCTCCCGCTAGCACTCTCCTAGCGGTTGCTAGCGGTCGGTTGCGGTTGTTAGCGGCTGGTACCAATCACAGAAACCGCTCTGTACCGCTTCGAACCGCTCGAAATCGCTGAATTTCAAAAGCTCCTTTCCGCAAGCGTTTGCGGTTGCGGGCGGTAGCGGTTGGATTTAAAAAAAAAAAAAAAAAAAAATCAAACGTTTACTTATAATTATTATAATATATATTAATCATATATATATCTTTCATCTTTGTATCACGTTCTCATCAGAAACCCTATTCTCTCAATCTCTTCCACCCAAACTGATGAAAATCAATAACCAAACGTAAGTATCATATATCCTTTTATTCATTCATCACCTCATATGTAACTTTTTGAATATTTTTCATGGCATCGTTTTTTTTCTTTTCATTACGTATTACTTTGCTTTTTGATTGAATATATGTTTCGATTTGTTTTCTCGAATAGAAACTCGCTTTTTGATTGAATTCAATGTTATTTACAGTTTGTCCCATTACTTAATTGATGCAATTTTTGATGTTAAACCAAATGCATAAAGTACTATCTTGTTACAAAATTTCTTTATTTTTGAATAATTATTTAATACTTTATTTATGGTTTTAATTATTAAGCATGTTCAATTTTCCTAATATTATCATAATAATATATTGGTGTTTTTATTTTTTTTTTTTGTAATATTTTTTATTTATTTTGGTCATTTTTTTATTTAACTGCTACCGCACCCGCTGGTTTACCAGTCATAAAACTCCCGCAAACGCACCCATTTTCAAACGCTAAACCAGTCGTTCAAAACGCTTGATAACGCTTGAAGCCGCAACCGCCCGCTTCCGCAAACTCCCGCAACCGCAACCGCAACCGCTGCGTTTAAACCAGTCAGACCCTAAGTGCATGGTATAGTAAAAAACAATTTATGTAACTCAATTTATTAAATTTTAAACAGGAAAATAAAACTTAAGTTAATAGTAACTAAAAAAATATACTACAAAGAGATTTATTTTATTATTACATTTTCACTTACGAAAAATTAAAAGATTACTAAACTCAATTTAAAATTCAAAGATGAAGAAATTGTAAAGCTCATACTTTTTGTAAAATTATATTAAAAAAAAATCTTAAAATTGTTAAATATTATAATCCATCTTCTAAAAAAAAAAAATCAATGATCATATTATTCATGAGTTCTACAACAAAATATATAAAAAATGATTTGGAAGCCGTTAAAAATGATCTATAGTTTGTGTAGCATATCTCGAAGAAAAGTCTATTCTCAAGTGGAACTAAAACATTGTAACATGATCAAAAAGAAAAATAAGTTTGAGATTTCATCAATTAAATCAACTGATTTTAACATTAAATTAGTGGAAACAACAAATTTAAAGTACACTAAGTTTTTTTGATAAGAAGAAGTTTATGTTACATATCAAAATAATAAAAAGTGGTACACTAAGAAAGAAACTCATGTTTTTTAAGTGTTGGATGTGTAAGTATTGTAAGAACAAAAACAAAAATATTTTCATGTGGTCATTTTTTAATTGTAGTTGACTTTTAAAAATATAGTCGCCTATGTAATTTTTAAAAGCATTTTTTTTTAAATATCAAAATGTATATTTGTAGATGAGACACGACATAGATATTCGTCAAATCTTCTAAAATATAAGTATAGTATTAAACCCACAAAATGCGTGGGTTGTTTTCTAGTTTAATTAAATTTGTCTATTCTATCTAACCACAATGATGACTAACTTTTATTTTGATTATTATTTTATTAACTAAGTTTGATGCATTTAATAAGACAAAGTTGTACGTAAAAATTTATATCAAACAAAATTATGCAATAAGTTTAAATACATTTGAATTTTAATTGGTACTTAAAAAATAAACTTAGATTTTAGATTGATATATATATATATATATAAATATATATATATATGTATATATGAATATATAATCATATGGATATATATATATATATGTACATATGAATATATAATCATATGGATATATATATATATATATCTATATCTATGAATATATAATCATATGGATATATATATATATATATATATGTATAACTATTTTGGAAACATAAGACTCCCTAATAATAAAAAACTTTGACTAAGATGGACTAAAAAATATGTAAATCATATGTATGAAAGTTGACCAACTCTCTCTATATGAGTGACACGTCAACACTTGAGAGAATGACACATCAGCATGCAATATTATTATTATTTTTAATTGATTTCACTATTAATTGATTTCTTCAAAACAAAATAAAATATAAAATCATGTTAATGTATCTAGCACTACTTTTATTCTACTTTTAATCATGTTAACTTGCGATCTAACCTCTTATTAGTTTTATAATTTTATCTTGAATCTTTTCTTATTATTACTTTTTGTGATCCACATACGACTTATCAGATGACCTTCTTTCTTTTCATTTTTGTCATCTCCTCTTCATAGTCTCTTAAAAATTGATAAAAATGTAATATTAAAACACTATTAGTCGGATTATAAAAGAAAGTGTTATAAAATTTATCAATATTATGAAATTTGGAATATGATGATTAGTGATATGTGTATATTACTATTTATAGAAGACAAAATATTTACGTTTTACAGCTATTCAACTTTAACAATTATGTTTAAATGTCATTTATGTGTAAGTTAATTGTATGTATATCATTATGTTACATTTCAAAGAATTCATTGTGTAGAATTCATTTTGTATTAATTGTATTTAAAGTATTCTTGCAATTTATTGTTAGCATTAACAACATAACGATAATTATTAGTATGGAGGTTACAAAATATGAGAAAATACATCAAATATAATTATTATATATTATTATAAAAAAATCTTAAATTATTACATGCTAATGAAGTTTTCTAGATGGCTGAATTAGCCAAACCTTTCCTCATTTTCTCGTTTGAGAGGTTAATCAGGTCTCTTCAAATCCTTTTGTTGGTG